CTTCTTCTTCTTCTTCTTCTTCTTCTTCTTCTTCTTCTTCTTCTTCTTCTTCTTCTTCTTCTTCTTCTTCTTCCTTCTTGTGATACCATTTATCTTATTCTTGTGACTCTTCTATTTCCTGTAACCTTGACTAGATCTGGGTGGAGAATTTTTTATGAGACTCTTTGCAGGTGGTGCTGTCTATCTCGTACAGCATCTCATCAAGAAGTGCATAATGTCTGGCAGTGCCACTTCTGCATGCTAAGACTGAGCATGAGTTTAGCCTGATGCCCCATGGTACATAGAGACTTGTGTGTAGTGAGGAATCTGAGGAAGGTGAAAGAGGGCACAGACACTGGTACCACATGAATCGAATTCCCTGTCTTCCCTGTTGCATAGATGACCCTTCCTTGACTCTCTTAGTTCTTTAAGGACTGTAATAGGTGATGCCAATTTCAGCCACCTATACGGAAGAAAAATATTATCTTTTCCTTGCCCATCACCAAGTTCCTATAGCAAAAGACAAATGAACCAGTGACACATGTAAGTCATTATTTAACCAGAGTTTCACATGACAGCCCCCAAGGACCCAAAAGAATCTGTGCATTATTATGCTTAGGTCTGATGACTGAACATGAGTCATGTTCATTTGATAATAAGGGTGTGGCCTAATATAACAAAGTGGTGGGACTTACCAAGGCCTGTCTATCCAGGACCTTGGTGGCATCTCTCTATCTTCATTTCTTCTCTGGGTACAGGGCAGGACACAGAGTCTCAGGTAAGGATCTCATGACCTACTTTCAAGGGAGGCAGGTCAGAGTTCTCTTATGGCCAATTCTCATGCGGAAAGGCAGGAGAACGTCAGAAAATGACCTTTCCAATTCTACAGTTTTCTCTGTTTCCAAGATGCCATATTTTGGGGGAGCATTGCTGAGGCTCTGTTGATAGCCAGTGTTCATCCGTAAAGCAGGCTGTACCTCATCAGCAGGGGCTTAGCAGTTCCCTAAAATAGAGCTCTGACTGGGAAAGAACGTAATCCTTTCCTTTCACTCATCAAAATCCAGAGCGAGGAGTTGTGCAGTGGCCTACTTAAAGAAAACAAGTGGGGATTTGCTTCTTGGCTTCTTTTCTGAGTATCGTGGGCACTGGGGCTTTTAGGTCTTCAATGAGCTTCCAACTACTGTGATCACTTATTCATTTGGAGGCTTGCCTTGTCCCAAATTCATGTGTGTCCTGTCAAGGTGGGTCAGAATTTAAAGATGAAAGTGATGGAAAGAGATCCTCAGCAGAAAACACACTCAAGACACTGAACTAGGCTAAGCAAGGAAGGCCACTTTCACAAACCCTGGGTTTATAAGTAACACTTATAAATCCTGAAAGTCTCGCGAATAACCGAGAGCGAGCTGCTGAGTAAGCAGGTTTTGCCTTCGCTTGTGTGCCCTCCTTTGCCAGGGGAACAGGGCAAATTGAGTCAGCTGTGGCCTCCCAGGGATGCAGGTGGTAGCCAGTGACTCAAATCTACAAAAGGTAAGTCAGCACCGAGAGCTTGGTTGGGTTTCTGCTTTTCTGTGTTTATTCTATTTCAGCTGCTCTCCTAGCTGCACTTACCAAAGCCAAATCAGAAATGTTCTCAGTATTTGAGACTCGGTGGTGAAGGGGTAGAGGTGGGAGTGAAGGCAGCTGAGCAAAGCAGGGGTCGGGGCAGAGCACTGTGCTCTCCCCTCAGTACTTTTTGTTTGTTTGTTTTTTTAATCTTTTTGAGACAGGGTCTCACTATGCAGTTCAGGCTGGCCTTGAGCTCACTTTGTAGCCCAGGCTGGTCTCGAACTCACGATGGTCCTCCTGCCTCAGACTCCCAAGAGCTGGGATTACAGGCGTGCGCCACCACGCCCGGCTGGTTCCCTCAGTACTTACTGGCTGTGCGACCACTGCCAGGCAGGTGGCTGGCGTCAGTGGGTGGAGCAACGGCGTCTCCTCCACCAAGTAGGCCTTAGCTGCTCTGCAAGGGCCCGTGTTCCACTAGCGGCCATCTGGCACGTGCAGGAGCCCCGGACTAACTGGAAGGCTCTTATTGTTGGATAATAATTAACAAGAGACTATTAGTCGTTCTGTGGAGTTTGCCATGATTCTGCAAGTGCCTGCAATCTCCCCTTACAGTATATTTTTTAATGCTCTCTTACATTTTGGATGATCTAAAATCTTGAAGTAGGCACAAAAAGCCTGGTTAATTTCTGGCGAAATCTTTTTGACAAGAACATTTTGTAAGCCTAACTACCTTTCAACTTGAAATAATAACTATGTTATATTTATTTAGTACTTAACCTAGATAATGATTTCAACTATCTGTTTGAAGTAGAGACTGGTGTTATTGCCATTTTACAGATGAGGAAACTGAGGCTAAGCTAAGTAACTTGCTCTAGATCTCACATCTAATAAATGAAGATGCAGGATTTGAACTTGAGTTAGGTTCCAAAGGTATTGTTCGTTCTTAACCATTCTGCTACGAATGAACACTTCCTAAAGAAGTCTGTTGTAGATGTCTGTATCATTTAATTTCCATAACATACATCTGAATTTTAAATTTGTGCTTCTAGGAAGCAGAAAGATACGATGTTTTAGGCCACAAGATTACTAAAGTGAAGTTTTTTAAGATTGAAGCTGTACATACCTTCCCTAGTAGGTACCTGAAGGTACCTACTTACTACCTTCCTGGCAGCCTGGAAAAGCACTACCGATGCTCTGTCACTTGCTATGACTTGTGAGACCTAAACATACACTTCAGATGGCTTGGTTCCCCTGCCCCAGAGCGGAGTGCCTCACTTGGCGCAGTGTGGCCCAATGATTGTCACGGAAGGCGGTGAGCTGAACGGGCTCCTGCGGCAGTCCTTGCCCTTCTTGCATGGAGACCGTGTGTCCCGGGGAGTGTTAAGTGTGTGAGGCTGCCCGTTTTTCCAGGTGACACAGGGAGAGCTTGGTGCATGATAATGACTCGGTAAAGACCAGCTGTGGTTGCTGGGGTGAACAGCTCTTAACTCAAATGTGGGTTATGAAGAGACTCTTTCCCAGGGATTAACAAGACTAAGAAACACTAGGCCAGAGATTCTCCGTGTAGGGCTCTACTATCACCTGCTGGGCACAATGCGTTCATAACAATGGCTAGGAATTTCCCTCCCGTAGCCGTCCCCCTCCACGTGTCACACC